TAAATACTGTATATCTGGAAATTATACTTCTAGAAATTATACCTCTAGAAATGCATATAGAAAAGGAATACTCTTGAAGATGCAGTAAGATGGAGCTATGGGGCTATTGGTCAGAATTTTGTTTAAAATAGTGAAGGGGCATCTGGGTGCTCAGTCGGTTAAGCATCTGCCTTGGGCTCAAGGCAGGTTGTGATCCTGGGGTCCAGGGAGCCTGTGTCAGGCTCCCTGCTCAGCAGGGAGTCTGCTTCTCCCTCTGCCCCTTCCCCTTCCCCTGCTCATGCTCTTTCCCTCAAATAAATAAATGAAATCTTAAAAAAATAAAATAGTGCAAATTTGTCAACAGCACAAATGTCCGACAATAGGGAATATTTAATGTGTACAAAGAGGATTGTGATTGGTAATAAAGGTAAAGAAGCAGGTTACAAAAACTGTGTATGTTTCTCCCACTGCACCCCACCCCACCCCTTTTAAAGGAAGGCAATATAGAGAAAGAACTGGAAGAATATAGTGCAAGAATCTCATGATGGTTGTTTCCGGATAGTAGGATATGATAATTATAAGATCTCTGTTTTTCCTTTCTGCACACCCATTTACCCTCCCTCCCTCCTTTGGATTACCCGTGTCTTCTATACTGACCCTGTCCAATAGAAATATAATGTGAGCCACATATATAATTTTAAACATTCTAGGAACTACATTTAAAAAATAAAAAGAAACAGATAAAAATAACCTTAATAATATATTTTTAACCCCAATATTTCAATGTTATCATTATAATATGTAATCAACACAAGAAAATATTAATGATATCCTAGATTTTTCAAAACACTCAGCCTTCCAAATCTGGTATGTATTTTACATTTACAGAATATTTCAGTTTGGGCCATCCACATTTTAAGCACCCAATGGCCATATGGCTTCCGTATTGGACAGCAAAGCTGTATAAAATTAATAGCTAACATTTATCAAGTGCTTACTATGTGCTAGGCACTCTGTAAACCCATTGAGTGGGGATTATAACTCATTCAATCTCACGGTAACTCCTTAAGGTTGTTATGATTATTATTGCCTCCATAAGCGCATGTTGCTATTGTAATAACACCATGGTAAAAGTTTTGGAGCTTTTTTGCAAGTCATTTCTCCGACGGGATGGGGGTGGAAGCCGAGTTGCAAAGGCTTATTGATTCAAGGGGAACTGAGGGAGTTAGAGAGATTAAACCTTATTCAAAACGTTTGATGGTGAAGAGAAGTTAGCAGAAACATGAGGACCAAAGGCTTTTTGTGGGGTGGGGAGACCTGAAGGTGAAGTGGGCTAAAGAGGAGGGAGGGGGATGAGAGGTAAAAGGGAAATGGCCAGAGATGTCCTCAGACCCAGCGCTCAAGGAGGACAACAAGGGCTCTGTTGGATAAACATAGCCTGGCCAGTGCTGGGGGGCATGATGGAGGTCACCGCTCCCCAGCTGGGGGTGGAGGTGGGGGTCATAGCGTGGGAGGCGGGGGGCAGACACAGGTGACTCCATCCTGCATGTGAATGCTGGGACAGAGTGGGGGTGGGGGGTGGGGGGGAGTTGAACTGAGTGGTGAAGAATGAAGTTAGCCAGCAAAGAATCAAAAAGGGAGGGGATATAGGCTTGAGAAGTACTTGATTACAAGACCAGATGACTGGATGAGGAAGATGAGAGAGGAGGATCTGAGGACAATTCCCAAGTTTCCTGCATGAGCCAAGTCAGAGACCGTAAGGTTTACTGAGCGCCTCCCTGGAGTCACACATTGGTCCTGTGCAACACATACCAATCTCACTCATCCTCACAGAGGACCCACATAATGCTTCCCCTTCCACAGATGTGCAAGCTGAGGCAAGATTATTGGCCCCACGTCTCACCATTAGTAAGTGGAAGAGTCAGGATTTGAGCCCAGATTATTCCTGAGATGGAGGGAAGGAGGAGAAAAATGACGAGGGTCCAGAGCTAAGACCGGGGGTCCAGGGGGGTGGGGGGTGGGGTGCAGGCAGGCGCTGAATGAAAGGGAAGCAGCTGTGTGGGATGGGAGGGCCCTCCAGCCTGAGGAAGGCAGGATCAGTCTTTGGGCAGAACTCAGCAACCCGGAAGGGAGGACGGGCAGGTGGAAAGGCAGGGTTGGGGAACGGAGGTGAGAGAAGGGGCAGCAGATTTGGTGTAAGGTGGGCTGCTGTCCACTGGTGAGAAGAGGAGGCATTTGTGTACCCGATCAGCTGGGGGGCGGCAGAGGCAGAGACCGGCTGGGTGAGAAGGCCCAGGAAGAGATGGGGGCCAGGTGGGGAGCACTGATGCTAGATCCAGAACACAGTGGCAGGCTTACAGGTGACAAGTTCTTCTACTAACCTACTGCAGAAAAAGTGACAATAGAGGAAGAGGCCCTAAGAGGAGCGGAAATAGAGGAAACTGGGTAAGGGATCAATATCTATAGAGGGAGGGAAAGGATGGAGAGAGGTTAGAGAGTCACAGGAGAGGAAAGCCAGAGAAAGGAGGCTGGGGAGAGGGAAAGGGGAGGGAGGATGAAGGTAGAACCGCCATCACCTGGAGCACCCAGTGCTCCCAGCACCCTAACCCTGTGACTGCCTGTCTGGAGAGTTAGCTGCAGCTGCGGGGGGTGCGGATGGAATGAGGGTGGAACCTGAGCCAGACCAGGATCACTGAGTTGTCCCAGCTCAATCCAGACTGCGACCAGACTCAAGTCACTGGTCCTGTGGACTCTGTTTCTTCATGACAGCTAGATGTCAAAGGATTTCGCAAGCACCACCACAAGGAAAGGTGTTATTATAAAGATCTATCAAGTTAATACGAATATGTATCCCCAGAACCATGCAGATGAAAACAGATGTGGCCGGTGTAGATGCAAGTCCAGAAATGGCCCGGTAGATGGCCGGCTCTTCTACCTGCCCAGTTTAGCGAGTTCGCGGCCAATGTTCAGCCTCGCGGTGGGGTAGGAGGTGAGGGCCTGCGGCTGGACAGATGGTTCATCTCCGGCTGGGGGCGCAAGGCCCTGGGCAGGGTTAAACTTGCTCGGGCTCCTGTCTTCTCCGTGGCAGCCCCCTGTCGCCGCTGAACACAGGCCCAGGCAATGCTTATCCAACTGAACCCGCGTCCCCGTGGGGATCTTGCTCCAACAAAATACCCAGTCATCTCCTTCTATATAAAGCGAAAATCTCAAGCTGTGCCTTTGCCCAGCTCCGCACCCTCGCCCCCTTAGTGCTGTGGCCTGCTTAGGTCTCCACTCGGAGGAGCTCTCCCTTTCCAGGACTGAGGCTGGAGCAAAGGAGGAGGGGGAAGAAATAAATGAAAAGTCGGGGTGGGGGGTGGAGCAGCGAGACAGGGAGGGGGAACAGACAGCCTGAGACGGAAACCGGGGAGAGAGAGAGAGAGAGAGAGAGAGAGGCCAGCCAGTATAGAGAGCCAAAAAGAGCCGGAGAGGTCGCAAAAGAGGCACAGGCGCTGGCCGCGGATTCGGTAACGATTCCTTCCGCAGGCGTTTCTGCCGCGGCTCCGCAGCGCTCGGCCCCGGGCTGCCCCGGACGCGCAGGGCTGCAGGGTGCGGTCGCCTCACCTCCCCCCTCTCACCGCCCCCTCCCCACCTCGCCCAAGGGGGCCGGAACGGCGTCGGCGCGCGGGGGCTTTTCGGAGCAGTCGAGTGGAAAATAGACTTTAACCCGCTTTGTGGCGACGAGGGCGCCCGAAGCGCTCTCCCGGACCAGGGCTCCCGGCGCTCAGGCGGGCCACTCCCAAGACCCGGCCTGGAGTCCCTGCAGAGTCACGCGGCACGCGGAACCCCTGGCCTCGGGGCGCCGGCAGGCCCGGCCAGGATCTGCGCACCCGGCCGCGGCCGGGCCGCCCCCACTGACCCCGGCGGCGGCGAGGAAGCGGAGCGCGCTGCGGTCCCCTCCTTGCAGTGCGCTGGCAGGGTCCGTGTCTCAGCCTCCCCACCACCGCCCAGAGCCCTCCTAGGCCTCGGTGCGGTGTTTCCTGCGGCCTGGAAGGCCCGGGTGAAAAAGTTTGCGGAGTACTGGTTCTCCTCACCCTCTCACCCCCAGGAAATTATTGCAAGAAATGGAAACCTGACGGAGCAGAGTCGTCCGCTGCTCCGCGGTCGCTGGTGGAAGGTGAGGGTCAGGGGAGGCCAGGCGGCCGCTGCGTTCCCGGGATGGCTGGTGTGTGTATTCTTGGAGGAAGGGTCGACTTGCTCGGCCAGCTCCAAGTTAGGGCCCGAGGCCCGGGCCCGGCCTGGCCCCCCTGCACCTGAGCCCCACGACGAGAGAAAGCGAGGAAAGCAGCAAATCGCCCTGCGCTGAGGCCCGCCGTCCCGGTGCGAACAGAGCGAGGCCGCCGTGGCTGGGCCAAGGAGGTGCTTCCGAACCCGGATTTGCGGCTTGAGGTCTGCAAAGTGACCACTCCGGCGGCTCCTCTCGCGCTGTCCCCGGCCTGGCCCCTTCTGAAAAGAACTGGGCGTCCCCTTTCTGGAGCTGTCCCTCTCAACACTCAGAAAACGCGAAACCTCACGAACAAGGCCGCGGCCCAGGAGACAGACGGTGGGTGAGCGGGACGGCCCGGGAGGCCAGGGGAGCAGTGCCCTGGTTATCGGAGAACGTATTTACTGGGCAAAAAACACCCTCCCTCCACTCGGATCCAAGTTGTCTGAGAACTGAAACGACATCCCAGGATGAATTGGAGAGGGTTCAACTGAGTTACACATCGGGAAGTGGGGTTGGAGTTTCTACCAAGCCCCAGGCCCCTCGGACGCCTTCTTCGGCTCCCGCGTGGGCTGAGACGGTTGGGGAGGTCGCCAGACTCAGCTAAAAGGGCAGAGACGCGAAGAGAAGCCTGTGGCGAGGGGCGGGTGGGGGGTGGGGGGAGGCCTAGATAGCCCGGCAAAGGCTCCAGTCCGCTTTTTGCCTCCGACTGCTGGCTCCTTCCCCACCCGCCGTCCCTCGCCCCGCCCCGCCCCGCCCCCCACCTTGGGGCAGGTGAGCGGCGGCCAATGGGCGAGCGCGGGGCAGGTGCCGGCTAACTCGCGCCTCGCAGCGCAGCGGCCGAGGCTGAGCTGGGCAGTGCTGGGAGGACCAGGGGCGGGGGTCTGTCCTGGCTGGACTCGGGGGGGAGGGGGCCGGGCTCAGCCCCCAGGCCGTAGAGGCAGCTCGCAGCATCGCACGGAACCCGCGCCAGTGCCCGCGCCCGGAGCTGCCCGCTCGGCCCCAGAGGCCGGCGCGCCTAGCTGCGCGCCGTGGCCCGACTCCGCGTTCTCTAGCTCTCACGCCCCTCGCCTCTCCGCGCCTGGCTCGCCGGCAGGGTCTGAGCGCGGGCGGGCGGGCGGGGGAGGTGAGGGGTGCTGGTGTGTGTGCATGTGCCTGGCTGGGTGCACACCCCGCACGGCGGCGGCGCCAGGACGCGGAGCGCTCCCCGGAGCCCTGCTGCCTCGCTCGGCTCTGGCGACCGCGACCATGTTCCAGCCCACAGCCAAGCGCGGCTTTACCATCGAGTCCTTGGTAGCCAAGGACGGCGGCACCGGCGGGGGCTCTGGCGGCGGGGGCGCCGGCTCCCATCCCCTGGCGGCGGCCGCCTCGGAGGAGCCACTCCGGCCCACGGCGCTCAATTACCCTCACCCCGGCGCGGCCGAGGCGGCCTTCGTGAGCGGCTTCCCCGCCGCCGCCGCCGCCGCCGCCGCCGCCGCGGGCGCCGGTCGCTCGCTATACGGTGGGCCCGAGCTTGTGTTCCCCGAGGCCATGAACCACCCCGCGCTGACCGTGCACCCGGCGCACCAGCTGGGCGCCTCCCCGCTGCAGCCCCCGCACTCCTTCTTCGGCGCCCAGCACCGGGACCCTCTGCACTTCTACCCCTGGGTCCTGCGGAACCGCTTCTTCGGCCACCGCTTCCAGGGTGAGTGCCCATGCTGTGCCCGCTTAGGCGGCCGGCGAGCGCCGGCGCTGCCGTGGCGCGGGGGAGGCTCGGGGGCGTGCGGGGCTGTTCAGAAGTTGTTGAAAGAAGGCTGTGGGGTCCGCAGAGGCCGGCTCCCAAACGGGGAAGAGCCGCGCCGGATCCATATGCGCTTCTGGGGCGTTGGGTTCGCTCCCAGAGAGCCAGGTTGGGACCGCCAGGCTTGCCCAGAAATGGTGCGGGTTCGGACGCCAAGCCCGGGCGCCTCCATGGAGCCTCTCCTGATCCTCCCCGCGGCCTGCCAGAATCTCTCCGGGCTGAGCCAGTCCCAGCCCAGGGAGCGCAGCGCCCGCCGCCCCCTCCCTCTGCCGGGACTGGACCTGGGACCCTACTTCGCTCGCACATCCACCACCAATTCCCAGATATCCGCCCTCGCTGGCGCGTCCGAGCAGGGCAAAGTCCACCCGCGTGCCCCGGGTCTGCGGAGAGAAGGGGTAGCAGGAAGGGCAAACTGGAGAGTTAATGTTCAGTTTGGAGTGCTCCACCGTCTTGGGTGTTTCTCACCAACCTCGACCCGACTTCTTCAAGTCACAAGTGCCTCTCGGACCCAGGGCCGGGAAGGGTTGCAATAGCAACCGGCTTCCTTCGCCTTGCGCCTACCCGGCTGCTGCGGGACCGACGGCAGTCCTCCCAGGCAGGGGGCGGGGGCAGAGGGCTTATAAGGTCGTAGGCTAACCGAGCTCCCACGTCTTCACTGGGCAATAGGTTTGCTAATGAAGATCCCCCACTGGCCTTACAAACGCACACACATTTTTCAATTATCTGACTTTCCTGAAGGAAAGAGAGTTGCATTTGCTGGAGTTCGTTTTCTTCCTTGAATTTGTTAAAGTTTGTTTCTCTTTTCTTTTTTTTTAAGAGTGGCCTTAATTTATGCAGTAATTGCTTTAGTTTCCAGTTTTATTTTGTTAGTGTAGACGGGACTGGACCTCAGCCTTTTGAGGTTCCATAACTCAGAGCAAGGTAACCCGGCTTTTAGTGAAACAAATGAAAAGGATATGGCTAGAGCTTCGGCTGCCAACCTAATCTGAGGATAAACCGCGGTCTACACAAAGTAAACCAGATGCTTGGTACCATTATTTAGATAACAGAAGAAAAATGATCTTTTGAAGCTTTGGCTATAGCTACTGAGCTGTTTCACGGAAAGCCACTTTCCTGGTCCAGTTTGTCAATTTGCTTAGTCCCATCTGACCAGTAGATACTGACCCAGCAGATCCCACAATATAAAAGACTAATTACTTGAACAAGAATTTTTGTGGGCAGACTTGTCTCCCCTGCGATTTCAAAGATTTGCCCAAATCATGGGGTGAGGGAGGGAGCCTATGGTGTCAGCTGCTTTGGGCATGAGACCTGTCAATTATAACCATTGTTTACTGCTATAAATGAATGAAGTTTTATTCAAAACTGAGTAAACCGCCTCGGTGCTCCTTGGGCCCGGCCCAGCCTGGGTCTCAAAACCTGGCACCCATGAGCCGACCTGAGAGTCTCGGCTATTTCTGAACCGTCGGGCCCGGGCAGTAGGGGGACCCGTGGTTAAGAGGCTGGTGCAGAGACAGGGGCTCTGAGGAGAGGGCAGAGCCGGTCCTAAGCCCTGTGGTCTCTGCTCATCCGGGGATGGCCTCCCCGGCGGCCCCGGCGGCGCCCTCGGCTTCGGACCCGGCGCCCCACGCCCTCCTCGCTGCTTTTCCCGCCTCTGGCCTCGTCCCCGCAGGCGCGGGCGCGGGCGCCGAGGGCCGGGGACACCTCGCAACAGATCCAGCTACGGCTCTGAGCATTCCCAGCCAAGCGAGGCCAGATGAATTCTCCGAAAAAACCTTCTCAGAAATTGCCGCCGTTCTCTGAGCCATCAGTCCCGGCGGGCACGTTGTCGAGTTGCAAAAACGGTTGGATTTTTCTCTCAAGAGCCGTGTCTGGACGCGGAGATGGAGCCATGTGTGGCCGCATTTTTGAACTCGGAAATCCGTTGGACACGGAAGGACTTTTCCGACCCTGAGACGTTTCGGCTTTGGGTCCGGTCTTCGTCGCCGGTGGGGGACGGTGCGCGCCCCGGCAGCTGTGAGCCTGGCGGTCGCAGCGGGGCCTCGGGGCTGCGGGCCGAGCCGTCCCAGGCCCTCCGGCGCCGCGTTTTCTAGAGAACCGGGTCTCTGCGATGCTCATTTCAGCCCCGTTTTAATGCAAGAAACGAAACCCTACACGAACGAAAAGGAACATGTCTGCGCTCCGTGCGCAGCGCCCTCCGGCAGCGCGGGCCGGTGCGTGGGGAAGCGGCTTCTCTGCTGAGCGAGGCGGTGGAAGAGGAAGAGCCCACGCGGGAGGGTCTGGATCAGGCGGCGGCGTCCTGAAGCCGGTGGCCTTCGAGGCCTGAAGGGGAGGAGCCGGCGGAGACCGGGAGTTAGCCGCACTTCGGTGCCATTTCCCGGACTCAGGAACTTTCCAGACCGGGAACGGCGTCTGGAGGGGGCCCGCGAAGCCCCAACCCTCAGGGATCCGCGTTGGTAATGGGCCGGTGCTTCAAAGGGCGCCTTTGTTCCGGCAGGAGGAGGGGGAATGAGGTTACCTCCGCAGCTCGGCCGGCCTCGCCCACTCGTCGCCCCAGGCTCCTCCGCCCAGCCGGCCGGTCGTGGCCTCTCCAGAAGGGAGTGCAGGGGCGAGCGCCCGCACTCCGGATCGCTAGCTCCCACCTCCGGCCACCTCAGTCCTGGGAGTCTGTACTGCCAGTCTTTGCCTTGAAAGGGCCTGCATCGCGAGGCTGGAGGAAAACGAGGTGGGGTTCTGTTCCTCCCGGCTCCCGGGAAGGCTAAGAGCCTCCTTCCACTTTCCCACCTCTCCATGTCTGAAACGGACAGCCCACTGCCCCAGGCGAGAACTACTGCATAGAAACAGGCCACACTGGCCCCAGCCCCAAGCTTGTTCCCCTCCTGTGGTCCAGTTAAGGGAACCTGAAGCTGTGGTAGGGATGCTGAGGCTCCCTACCCATAATGAGAGGGGCCCAGGAACATCGGCCCCCAAAGCATCACTCTGTCCTTACAGAAACGTAGAGCTATCAATCAGTTTGTCCGGATAGTTAGTTTTGCACTAAACCCCCTCTTTCTTACAGGAAAAAAGCCTTGCTTCTTTTGAAATTCTATCTGTGATCACTTTTCAGTATCTTGAGTCATTTTCCTGCCCTTGCTTCTTCGTGGTTGGGTCAGAAGGACCCCTATGTTTCTGCCCCTACATGTAGACACAGACTGAAGGATACATTCTATCTGCCCCAACAGGACATGACAGTAAACCAAGCAACCTAGCTTTTTCTAAAATAGCCAGACTTGAGGCAAAGGGAAGTGTGTATGTCAGAAGGACAGAGTAAGCTTGTTGCTCCCATCCTCCAGTTTGGGTTTATAAAGACAAACACAGAGAACACCACGCAAGGGACCAACACATACTCTCAGAATTACAAAAGAGCCATCAAGTCATACACACCAAGGCAGACTGCAGTCCTGCTTTCTCAGCCACAGACTATCCTTGACACCCCTGCACCCCGTTCACTCCCATCTACAGGGTCTCTCCACGCTGCCACCTCACTTTTGACCAGCCTGGGCCAGTTGAGCTGCTGAGGCCAACCCTGTGAACTCTGGGATGAGCAAGGCCTTCACCCTGTCCAGCTCACCTGTCGAGAGGAAAAACCACTGTTGGGACTTCACCCAGGCTCAGAATAATGCCATTTTTTGAAGCAATTTAACATCAGCAAGAAGTGTCTGCTTGCCACCTACCTCTCCCACCTTTCTGTGGCCTATCACACTGGTACCCACCTGAGACTTTCTTATTCCTACTTGGATCAGGCTCCTCCTTTCACTCCTTCTTTCCCCTCTCTGCCAGACCACCTCCCCTGATCATCTATCCCCTCCACCACCAGCAGTTAAACTTCCTCCAGTCAGGCCTAACAGCCCTGGGCCTGCCTCCACCTTGAAGGGCACTGGGCAGAGTGTCCCCCTCCATCTCCCCAGGATGTGATGCCACTCCCTTTTGTAGCTGCACAGATCCAGCCACCTTTGAAACGGGAAAGTGATTGTCAGGGGACTTTACCTCCCCTCTGGTAACCTCGTTCCAGAGGAGACCCCAGCAATACAGTTCACCTGTGTAAGCGTCCAAAGCCCAAGGACTTGGCAAAAGAAATGCCAGTCAGTTTCCACCAGCAGAGGGACATGAACAGTTACCTGGAGAGTTTTAGCAATAGCATCTCAATTATGTGCCCTTACTTCACTTACAGAGGTTATTTCCAGAGATGGAAGATGTCACTTGAGATCCAAACAATTGCCTTAAACAAAACAACAGGTCAAATTGGGTAGAACCAGTGGGCCATTTCTGAAGAAATTAAGTGGATCAGTCAATCTCAACAGCTAACTGTGTGAAAACATCCCTTTTAGGGCTCTTCCTTGTCAGTGGGTCAGGGGTACTGATATGTGCCACTGCATGAGAATCCACGGGTGATGTCAGGGCCTGTTTCACATCTGAGAGCATGTGTAACCAAGCCAGAGATTGTGTGAAGGCCTAGTGGGGGGGAGGGGGTATTGAGCGTGGGGCTGTGGGTGGAAGTTTATTTTGGCTTTTGTAGTTCCTGACCTCACCACCCCGGCCTTGTCCAACCCAATGTCAACCTCTCCTCCTGCATGTAGGAGCTGAGTTCCCATGATGGCCAACATTTGCCAAGGGACAATCACAGTCTTTGAAAATCCTGTATGGTAGATGGGAGAAAAAGACAGTAGGGAGGCTGGAGCATATATTTACACACGCCCATGCAGAAACCAATATATCTATATCTATATATATTAGAGAGAAAGATGACATCTAGATATTTATACACGTGTTTCTTCAGCACGGGACTATTCAGGGATGAAGCAAGGCCTTTTCCCACCAGAGAGCAGTAGGAGTCTCCTGGGGGGAGTGGGCTTTACCTGAAGGCCTGGGGGAGAGGCCCCGGGAAGGGGGAGGAAGAAGCCTGACCTTGGACCTTTAGGTGTTGCCTGGACACTGACTTAGCGGCTGGCCTATTTTTACCACTTGCAAGGTAGAGCCTGGGCCTGTTGGCAGGAATTTTCAAAGGGCTAGCAGCCTGAGCATTTTTAGCGGCACGGGTGGTTTAAACAGGTGTGAAAAGAGAGTGCCTTGGGTCCCTTCTAGTTCCTGAAAATGTTTGGCATGAGGGTGCTTAGCAGCCTCACTGTTCCCCTTATCACCTTCCTGACACTCAGCTCTCTCCCTACTCTTGTTGAGGGAGATAAGACAGGGTCAGGGGACAAAGAGAGCTAAGGGACTTTTCCCACCTCCCGGCCTCGTCCGCTGCTCCAGGCGCTGTGGATTTGGGCCGGCTGGCGCCTCGCTAGGCCTGGGCCCTCCTCCTGGCCCAAAGAGTGATCCGCTGCTCAGCTCCTCCAGGCCTCCGGCGACCGACCGGATAGCTCTGGAACCCTAGAGAAGTATGGGGGGAGGCGAGAGGAGTGGACTTAAGGAAGGGGAGGCACAAGGGAAAGGGGAGAAGTGGGGGTGGGAGTCCAGGATTGGAGAGGGTAACGGAGCGCCGAGGGGGTTTGCGAGCGGGGCCAGAGGGCCGGGCTTGGCCGGCTCCCGCGGGCGGCCCGGCGGCCGGGCTGCGGCTCACGGCGCCCCTTCTCTCTGTCTGTACCTGCTGTGTTGCCGTCGGCGGCGCGGCCGCAGCGAGCGACGTGCCCCAGGACGGGCTGCTGCTGCACGGCCCCTTCGCGCGCAAGCCCAAGCGGATCCGCACGGCCTTCTCGCCCTCGCAGCTCCTGCGGCTGGAGCGCGCCTTCGAGAAGAACCACTACGTGGTGGGCGCCGAGCGGAAGCAGCTGGCCGGCAGCCTCAGCCTCTCGGAGACGCAGGTAATAATCACCCGGCCGGCGCGCGCTCGGCCCGCGAGCCCAGGTGGAGGTGGGGGCGGGCAGGTGCAGAGGGGCCCAGTCTCACGCCCCCGCCTTCCCCGGAGCCCTGTCCCACCCGGTTCCACAAGCCACCCTCCCCGCCCCCCGCCGCGGCCCTCCCGCAAAGCCTGTCTGGAGAGCCCCTTCCCACCCGCTGCGTTTGGCCTCGCGGAGGCCGCAGGACTTCTGTCAAGCTCTAAGGACCCACCAGGAGGTTGGAAGCAAACCCCAACCCAGCGTGCTCTCAAAGCCCATGGGAGGTGCCAGGTTCTCAGGAGGAGGCAGGGCGTGGAGCCCCACGCCGCAGTCACTCCCGAGCTGTCCCGGTGTCCACTGGAGCCGTCTCAGCCCTGTGGTGGCGGCCGCTCTTCTCCCGCCACTCCTCGGGGGTGCCCACGGCTCTGCGGGAGGCCCGGGCCTTTCCCCGCCCCGGCTTTGCGGCTGTTCATGGGCAGAGTTGGCGGGGGCCTCGGCTGCCCACCAGCGGATGTGGTGTGGGGAGAAAGCCCGCGTGTCGTCAGGCTATGAACATCAGAGGCAGAGGAATTAGCCAGACAGGGGCCAGCCCTGCTTGGGGTCCGAGGGTGGCGCTGATCTCTGCGCAGGCAGACTGGTGGGGCTCTGGAAACTGGTGTTTGGGGCGCGCAGACATGTGAGGCACCTGGGAATGGTGGGAAAGTAGATGCGGGGACTCGGACTGTGTTCACACGCTTGAAGGGCTATTGAGTTGGGGAGGGAACGAACTCTAATGGCGTTGGAGAGGTTTTGACCTGGGTGAAATTACAGTAACCAAGTAGTATTTTTGTAATTGGTAATTAAGAAAAGAAAATTTTAAAGAACTAGATTGGAGTTATAGGGAGGCAGATTTGGGTTTATTGTAAAGACTGCCATAAATAATTGCTGCCTGGAAACCGCCTAAGCTCTTGGTCCCTGGGAGTAGCCGCCACGCTGTAGGGGCCGGTTGCTGCCCTGGAGGCCGATTTCCGTGTCTGGGTGGGCCTCGGGAGATCTTCTTCCCTCAAGTCCCTCACAGCTCCCAGATGTGCAAATGAGGGGGGTCTGCTCGCTGCCCAGCGGCTCCCACCCCGCCGGCTTTTTATCACCCTCTCCCCTTTCTTGCTGCTCTGGCCCCTACCACCTGCCATCCTAGTCCCGTGAGGAAGCGTCTGGAGGGAAGGGGGCAGCCTGGGGTCTCTGGGGATTAGTGAAGATAGGAAGGGGGCCCAGTGGGGGAGTCCAGACCCTAAGTGCCTCCCCAGCTCCCCCCAGCAGACATCACTCGCTGGTCCTCGCGTCCTCTTTTGGTTTCTATTGTCAAGACGTCTTATCTGTCCAATGCTCCATTTAATCACATATTGCTCTCCTCTCCACTGTAGGACCCGTGCTTTTTGGGCTGTTCTAACTGCAGAGATAAAGCGTACAAAACAACAGAGTTAATTTTTAAAATGTTTTAAAGAAATACATGCTAAAAAAACAAGTTAATAAAATAATACCCTCATTCCCTCCTGGCAAACAGTGTTTTAAAATTGTTGTCTAAAACAAGGTGTCAATTTAAGAATGGTGTTTATAGTTAACATCATTTAAAAAGTATTAGGTATTAAATTTTAATTGCAGAAGTGTAAGAAAACAAAATGGTTTATAATCCTCCCACCCACAGATTTAACACTTGTTGAAATAATGTCATTGTTTTTTAAACTTTCAATTTTTTAGCTCAGCGAGAGCATTTTTAATTAACTTTCTTTCAAACCAAATCTAGCTGCCTATTTGTTCCCAACAATGCCAGTTAGTAAATGTAATGATTGTTTCCTTCATTTTTATTATGTTTCAAACATATTTAAAACAAAACCAGATAGAATAATATAGTATATCCAGCTCAACTATCAAAACTCATGTCTAATCTTGTTCTATCTATAGATGAGCTGGTTTTAGCATATGGAACAACAACAACAAAAAAAACAATAGAACTATGGGAGGTTTGAGCCTGAGAAACCATCCTGTAGAGGCTCGTCTTTTCAGGTGAGGACTCTGAGATGGAGAGATGGACTGGGCAGAGCTCCCTAGGCGAGCAGATTGGATTTCATTATCTGCCTCCTTGCTGATTGACTGTGTGACCTTGTGTGAGTTACTCAACCTCTCTGAGCTCTGATTTTCTCATCTGGAAAATAGATTGTTTAAGGACTAAAGGCACCTAATAGGAACTGAAATAATATTAATTCTCATCCCCAGTCCTTCCCTTCCCTCTGTTTAAAGTAGTATGTATATCAAGTTAGTGTTACAGTAAGCCCCTCACCTGGGAGTCCTGACTTGGCCTAGTGTTTCTTCCGCCATCGCTGGTCTCCTCCATCACAGCTGTCTTTCTGTCCCTCATGTAACTTACCATTAATTATCCCTCTGTCAGTACTTACTGGGCAAGCCTACCTGTCATTTCCAACTATTGGCTATTTGTCAGGCATCCGTCTCTACCGTCAGTCCCCTACCATCTATTTTCTGTCAGTATCTACATTTGTCTCGCAGAGCTCTCCAATCCATCCTGCACAGATAGCTGTTTTATATCTAGCCACGTACTTCTGTCTGATCTCATTAAACTGCCTCTCCAAAGCTGGTTGACTTATATTTCCTATTTTCTATTAATTACGGTCTTCTTCTTCCTAACAAGAGCTCTCAGTTACCCAGCTGCTGATTATTTCCTTATCCTCTATTCTGTTTCATCTTCTGTGTATCTACCATCCATCTCAAGTCTCCATCTCTCTAGATCTAGGTAGCTACCAACAGCATATTCGTATGCCTGCTAGTGCTTGCCTATCATGTCATCAGCTCTGCCTTTGTCTTCTTTCTGGGCCTCCATTGCTGTATCTGTAAGATTTGATGAAATGAACTCCGTGGTTCTTCCCAGCTCCCGAGTTTCTGGTTCATCTATATTCTGCTTCTCTGTGTTTCTGTATGATGCTTCCTCCAAGTTCTCAGAGCTCATAGTACATCTCCCGTATATCATAATACACATAGGACTTTGCTGCTGTGAAATTATCCACCGTGTCCACATGTCACTCTGTAGACTGGCTAGATGGATCTCTCAAGAAAATCTTAAAATACAGATTCCCAGGCCCCGTTCAGGAGATTCTCTTAGGAGTTCCAGGATAGGATCCAGGAAGTGTTTTTAAAACAGCTCTCTGGGTGATTCGGATGAACAACAGGCCAGCTTGGGAGCCAGAGGTCAAGCCTTCCTGCTTCCCTCTATACCCTAGGGTCCAGCTCAGTGACGAGCAAGGAGTCAATGCCCCGTAAACATGTATTGAATGAATAGGCAGATTTCTTTTGATTGTACACATATCCATGTGTTAACTTTATCAGTCATTTCCCTTGCTTTCTGTAGTCACTGACTCCTCCCTGTCCCTCTGTTTTCTATTTTTCCCTTGCACTTTATTTTAGATGATCTAGTTTTATCCACCAGTTCATGGATAAAACTCCTGGTAGGGTTAAGGAAATCAGTGTGTGGGTCTTAATCCAGGGCCCAGGGGTCTCTGTATGCTCAAAGCTTTAGTATGGAGTGTTGCGAGGTGGGCAACCCAAACTTCTTTGTTGGGGCAGGTTAGTATGTTTGGTTGAGAGTTGGGTATTTATGCTGGGATGGCCACAGGTCAATCCAGGAAGTGGAGGGAGTAGTCCCGGGAAAGGGTTAGTTCTCCTTTCTGGCTCTGATTACTTTCTCCTCACTGCTATGGTGCAGCCTCCGAGTCTGACCCGGATGACTGGATGATGCCCATCTAAGCTTCAGTCCTAGTGGGGCAGACCCGGATTTGGGTCAGATCAGAGCTGTGAGTGGAAGTGAATGTGTGTGTGTGTGTAATGGGTGTGTGTAACATGTATGTACTACAATGTGGGGCACGTACAGGCAGTGTGATTGATGCCCAAAGGTCAGGTGATATCATATATACACATGGCGTAGAATGCAGCTCGGGTGCTTCTGTGCATGCGTGGGGGGTGGCACAATAGTGTTATGGGGAATGAGAGAAAGCATTTGGTTGCTCCAGGCTGATCAATTGGTCAGTGTTTCCAGCTGCCCGTTCTGCTCTGAACAGTTTAGCAGGTGTTTCTTCACCTTCTCTGGCTTTGAGTTCAGTTGAGCTGTGAGGGAAAGGGGTGTGGAAATGGAGTCCTTAGCCTTGAAGATTCCTCCTTTAGTGATGGGGGCAAAATGTAAAGTGTGCACACTTGTAGAATATGCACAACGAGTAACTGGAGTCTCTTTGAAGTCACAGCTGTGGGCTGAGGGAAGTGAGGGGAGACCTGCATGGGTGGAAGTTTCCCAGAAGACCTCAGGCCCAGAAGGCTTGGAGGGATGCATAGGATTCTAGGTTGGTGGGAAGGAAGGGGAGGGTTTGAAGTAGGTGGATTAAGACAGAGCAGGAGGTGTCAAGTCTGGCCACCATCTTGGGGCCCAAGAACAGGTGGGGAGGTCTTAGAAGGAAGGAGTGTATGGTTACCTGCCTGTGGGTTCCCCCCCGCAGGGGAATTGGTAAGGAGACTTCTTGGGGTCCATTCCTGCTCTGAAAAACTCTGTTTTTTAAGGGATGGATGAGAAGGAGATATCCAAATGACTCGAATTTTAGGGAAAGGTCAAGAGGCCTTTGTTACTAGCTCGCTGTCGGTTCTGAGATGGACTCATCTCTTCTCCAAGCCTTGGCTCTTCTCCAAGAATTTCTGCATCACTCAAGTTCCAGAGTCCAGTGGGAAGCAGGACAGGGCAGGGGAGGTAGGGAGACTGGAGTGGGTCCCTAGGGCCTAGTCCTGAAGAGGCAGATGACTCTGTGATGTCTCTCTGAGAGTGAGGGCAAGCATCCAGGATGGTCTGGTAGAGGAGGAGACAAGAAGGCTTAGGATGAGTTGGGCTATAGTTGATGGGGAGTCAGAGGTGGCCTCCGTTTGGTGGGTCTAGCATGGCATTGGGCTTGACCCTGAGAGTGGGAGGAGCTCATATGATCAAGTAATAAGAAATGGATCCCCAGCAGAGGGGGGTATTACCTTGATAGGGTGTTTGAACTCCTTGAGGACAAGTATTCTCCTGAAAGTATGCAGGCAGGAGCTACAGACTCTTCCATTTGGGATGGGCTAAACTTGGGGACCAGTGGAAATGAAGGGATCCAAATCTGGGTCATTCAAATAGCAGGTTATTCAAAAGTAAAGTCTGAAATAATTGGCTGGAGCTCTAGTTTGCTTGTGTGTTAGTTCCTTTGTCCATTCATTTGCCGATTAATACATGCACACCTTCATTAATGTATACATACATCAGTCAGTCCTCTAATGCATTAATGCATGCATGCATTCATTCATTCACCCACAGCACCTTCCTCATCCTGTTTGATTCATGCTGACCCTTGTGCCTCCCAACAATAAGTCTCCCTCCCTGCCCCAGATTCTCCCTAGGAGTGGTTAATCCAATCCACAACATGGAGAATTAAAAATTGACCCTGTTGGAGAAGTGTCCACTGGACTATGCCTAAAATCTCTCCAGCAATTGCACTTCCCAAACCCCTTTTCTGATTAGACCTCAATCCCTCCATTGTTGATTTTCTTGGGCTCTCCAGTTCTGGCCTAGGCACCTCTTACCAATAGCACAGTGCCAGGTACTTCACCTGTGCTCAACTTGCTGAACAGACTGGAACATGCCCACTGGGACTCCAGCGTAGACTACTACACTGCTTTGGTTCTCCAGGTTCCCACGGCCTGATGAGGAGACAGAGGTTCGAGCAGGTAAATGAACCCACTGCTCGGGTCACTGTTGCTGAGACAGGGAAAACTAAGGAAGCACAGACAGGCAGTGGCACACGTCCAGCCCAGGAATATCTGAGCAGGATTCTGAAGGCTAAGTAAGAGTACTCCAGGTGGGGTAACTCAGGCAAAAGTGGAGAATCTTGGAAGGATCTGGCTTCTCTGAAAAACTGAGACATTCAGTGAGGCGGGGACTTGGGAGGCCACAAGGAACCTCTCTCCAAACCCAGAGGAGTCACAGATGGGGGAGGGGTTCCTTCAGCCAGTATCCCAGCTGTGCCTTCGGGGGCTTGTGTGCGGGTATGGTGGAGAGGCAGGTGCAGAATAAAGACAGCCTCGCAAAGCTAGCTCCCGCAGAGCTGGGAGCCACACTGCATGACCTGGTTCCTTTCTAGGGCCTCTGTCCTCCAGGGAAAGGGCTCTGGGGTGACCCCATATTGCCCTGCTGGGTTACAGAGGTGATGGGGGTGTCACTCTTGCCTCCTACTACACTCAGAGCCCAATTCTTTTTCTTTTTTCTAAATAAAAAATAACTTAATTGTTATCAGTAATGCATTAAAGAAAAGACAGAAAAGTGGAAAGAAGAAAGAAAGGTCACCCCACACGTTAAGTACATTTCCTTCTAGTCTTTTTTCCCCATGCATAGATTTTGTTTTCCCATGGTTGTGATCACACTGTGCCCAAACTGCATCCTGCCCTTTTTACTGATACCATTAAGTCATAAGCATCCCCCTGTTATTACAGTCTTTGTAAACAGCATCTGGTCATTCAGCCTAAGGCTGTTCACAAGATAGCCAGTCTGCTTAGGGAGACAGTTTACCTCCCTGTTTCTAGAAAGCTGCCTCCTTGACCCCGGTTGTTTTCATGAAGAAAATATTCAGGATCACCTTTCATTTGGGTGTGCCAGGAAAGCTGGCCCTTGCCTGAAAACATAACCTGTGCCTGGAGCTCCACCACTGATAACTTTCCTTCTTTGGGCCAGTGTTGTGGGGCAGGGTAGGAGGCTGGGTCCATCCCACTATAGAGAAGTCTCCTTCCTGAAAGGAGACTTGGAGTGTGTGTGAGAGGGAGAAGGTGCAGAAAGGGGCCAGCTGTCCTGGTGTTGCCCAGAGCTTCCCCAGGTTGCCCCATCACTAGGCTGGGCACGCTTAGGCCTCGGCCAGCCCCTTGGCCTCTCAAGAATGCTGCTCCAGCCCTGCATCCAGGCCTGAGTCACACACATGCCTTGCATAGGCGCTCACCCGCCTACTGGCTGGCATAGTGTCAGTGGGCTCTAGGATAAGGGGCCGGGGCTGGGCAGGGGCCAGACATGGTTGTGCTGAGAACCACCCAGAGCCCAGCCTGCCCTGTACCCAAGGAAAGATGGTTATGGGATCTAGAAGTTTTGCACCCAGAGTATCTACTGTTTTCCTTTGTCTGTCTGAGGTGAGACATGCAGGTGATGGGTTTGCACCCTGCCTTAGAGATGAGGGAAGAAGATCCTCCTCTTACACCATCCACTGAGGCCAGGTGCCTCATTTCTTCCTGTCTCTGGATGGCTGCCCCCACCATCCAGTGCTCTAAAATTAAGGGCAGGGCAGACCCTGGGGAGGAGGTGCTATTAGGGGAAGCCTTGGATTGGGTGGGCTCCATGAAGCGGACAGGGGGTGGTGTCTGGGAAGGCAAAGGTAGAGCGCCCTGGGCAGGAAAGTGCTCCCTGGGCCCTGATGCTGGGCCTGCTTTTGGCTGCCACTGCCTAGCTCTATGGCTACGGCCTGTGTCTTTCCGCCATTCTCAGGGACTAGCAGCTGCACTAAGGGTTGTCTTCTGAGGACTGCCCCTGGCCCCACCCAGGGTTCAAGGATCTTCCCTCAGCAGTCACTGATGCTGCCAAAACCAAGGTGCTCACCGTCATTCCACACACACAACTTCCCACTCACCACTGGCAAGGACACCAGGGGTCACCCAGCAGCAGCCGACAGCACCTACTGGCTTTGCAAATGAGCTGTCGTTTTCAGGAAACCATCCACGTCTCGTAACCCTGCCATCTCTGTGTCACCTGCCCCAGGGACCCTCTGGAGCAAAAGCCCAGGAGGTACCCCGGAGCTGCAAGGCCCCCAGAAAATATCTCTCCTACAGATGAAGGACTTAAGCCCAGAGCAGGGAAAGAACTTAGCAAAGGATCAGCACCCAGGCCCACTTTTACCAACTCTGAGGATGGGGTGGGGGGATGGCCTGGCTCTGCAAGGCCAAGTAAAGAACTGCAAGGTCAGGAGGAGCTGACAGATGAGTGAGGCTTCCTCCACAGTCCTCGAACACTAAGTCTAGTTAGGGAGCTGGGATAGCCCTCCTCGATCATGCATAAGAGGATGTTAAAGGCTGTATCCTGGACACGGAGCAAATGCTGGGGGAGGCAGGAGAAGTGAGGGCTGATGAGAGATACGGCTAAATCTGGGGAGGCTTCCTGGAGGAGGTAAGCTTAGCATTGTTGACCTGTCCCTCCAAGCCCCCACCACCCATCACAGAAGACAGTTGTCTGCTTTTGAACCCTCCCCTTGTCAGGACTCTCACTGCCTGACACAGAAGCGGGGAGCCCTCTCTGTTTAAAGAGGAGCTCACTGCGATTTCTCCTATGGAACCTGTTCCCATATCTGGATGGGCTGTAGAGGCCAGCACTTTGGGGGCAGGAAGCTTAGAGCACTGCTCCAGGTGGGGCTGCAGACACCCCTCTGTCTGAGGAGGAGGAGGCCTCACTGGTGGGTTTCAGACTACCCTGAGTAGCTGCCCCCTGAGGGACCAGCCTTCCCACCTGCCCAGCTCAACCTCTGATGTAGGATGGGGGGAATTCCACCTGCTCACAGGGTCCCCTGGAGAAAAACTGACTGACCTGGATGGTGTGTGAGTTGGAACCTTGAGTGGTAAGGGTCTGTGACCCTAGGAGTGCTCTGGCTGTCCTGGGCAGTGCTCTTGGTGTGGAGGGTTAGGTAGCCATGTCCGCTCTGCCTCTTTGTGCTGCAAAGAGCATAGGGTGGCCGGGGGTGGGCGGCACATCAGGCCCACGGGGTGCTCATCAGGACTCATGCGATGGCTTTTCATATGTTCGCCTACTTACTGTTTACCTCACCTCATGAAGGAGAGATTATTATCTCTTCTCTAGAAGGCGGTAGGCACCTGGGTCTGCTGGGCTCCTGAGCCTGTATGCCTCCCCTCTACTGTGCTGTGGCTACAGGATGCTCGGCAGCTCTGTGATGGCTCCCTTTCCTCTCTGAGAGGGACTGGAAGATGGCCCCTCTTGGCCCTCACTCTGCCCTCTCCCTGCCCCACGTCAGTGACATCTGGAAGAGTAGTCTTTCAGACCCAGCAGGTGTCGCGTGGCCAGAGGAGAGGCCCCTGGCCTTGGTTTCCCCATCTGGCTCCCAGCTCAGCCTGGGTGCTTGAGACCCCAGTAGCTGCTCTGGGGGCCTCCTGGGTGTTTCTTACTTCTGCCCCTCCCTCCCCGGCCCAGGTGAAGGTGTGGTTCCAGAACCGGAGGACAAAGTACAAGCGGCAGAAGCTGGAAGAAGAGGGGCCTGAGTCCGAGCAGAAGAAGAAGGGCTCCCACCACATCAACCGGTGGCGCATTGCCACGAAGCAGGCCAATGGGGAGGACATCGATGTCACCTCCAATGACTAGGGTGGGCAGCCACGGATTCACGAGGGCAGAGCATCTGCTCGCTGCTGGCCAGGACCCCGGGTGGGCCCTGCTGGACTCTGGCCGCTCCCCTGCCAGGCTTCGGGGAGGCCTCGAGTCACGGCCCCACAGGGCTCGGAGCCTGGGGCCACCACTGACAGAAGGACAAGAAATGGGCTGGCTGAGGCCTGGGACTCCTCCACCTTTTCCTCAGAGAGCCCGCCTGCGTGGGCAGGCCGCCGGCCACAGCCACTCTCCACTTCTCTTATCTCCTGCGTTTCTGTTTTAATTTATTTTCCAGGCACCCGCTGTAGTTCTTAGTGATCCCCCTGTATCTCCCTTCCCTATGGGAATAATAAAAGTCTCTCTCTTAATGACATGGGCATCCAGCTCCACCCCCGGAGCCTGTGAGCCCCGGGTGGGGGTGGGGTATTCCGGCTCTGGGGACCAGAGGGGACTGGCAGAGCAAGCTTGTACAGCACCTGGGAGCCTGGGGTGGGGCCTGGGAGACTCAACTCTGTTGGTGGTCCACCCTGGTCTCTAGCTCCAGCTCTAGAGCAAGGGAAACTGAGGCTAGACATGGAGAAGGACCACCCTGTGTCTTAAGGGAGGCTATCTATGCTCTGGTCTTTCCAAGCTTATTGAGCGGTGGGAAACACCCATGTGGGTCAGGGGAGAGACAGAACATGCCCACTTCTGCATGCTGAGAGACTCTGGTGGCTCCTCTTGGCCCTCACTCTGAGAATTGAGGAGAAACTAGAAGAAAAAGGGAGTATTGGGAGCTGGGGGCAGAGCACCATTCACAGAAGTTGACCATCCCAGCCCCAGGTCCTGGCCCCACCGGGATGCTCATCCATCCCCGGAGAACCCCCCCGCCCCATGCAGATGAAAGCTTCTGAGTTGGGGTGTAAGGCTGGAGCCTACAACCGGTCCCCAAGGACACAAGGTCTCTAGCCAGGAAAGAATAACAAGGCAGGGCTCGACTGAGCTCTTTAGTTCATCTGCCCTTCTGCTCATCCACTTGCCTTCCCTGCTGTCACACATCAAGGTTTCCTTCATCCTTAAAAAGCAAGACCTGTCTTCCTAACAACCTTTCCCTTACGACGTCCAGACCTGTCTCCACTTCTTCACCTCCCATGTGCTCCCCAACCCTCTCACCGATCACCAATTCCCGCCACCCGTGGGGGCCAAACTCAGCTGCCGCCCGTTTGGCTTCACCTACAGCCCACTCTTCCGGCCATTCCCTCCTGGACTCCCACACCCGCCTCTGCCTTCATTCCGGTGCCTCTGACACCGTCACCTGCCTCTCCGAGTCCTCCCGTCTTGTCCTGGCCTCGTCGCCCCTGTCCACTGCAGGGCCAGCCCTTGCGCCTCCTGCCTCTTCACTGTGCCCTCCACCTGGGGCTTCACATCCATGTGCAGGACTTCTCCTGGCGCCCTGGGCTCCCTGCAGGCGACCTCTGCCAAGCTGCAGACCCACCAAGCCCGCCGCCCACATCTGCTGCACTTCAGGCCTCCCGGCACCTCGAACCCAACACGTTCACAGCTGACTCATCTCCCCACCTGTTCTCCTCCAGGATTGCCCACCTCGGCAAACGGCCAAGATTTCTTCTACCTTGGGAAGCAGTGTACATGGCTCCTGGGGGGTGGGGAGGGGAGGGAAGGGAAGGAGTGGTAGGTGTAATCGTGTGTATGTCAGAGATGAGGCCCCTCCATACTGTGGCTAGGGTTCTCTTCCTTGAGCCCACAAGGACTGTGTCACACTCATCCTAAGTCCCCCACCCTACCCCCACTTCTTTCCCAGCCTTGGCCTCTGCTACCTCACTCCTGGTGCCCTCTGCTTCAGTCCCGCCCATGTCATCCCTGACCCCCTGTGAGCCATGGGTTTTGCCTGTGCTGTGCCTTTACTCATGTTTCTCTTGGCTCCTGGAATGTGCTGGGGGCTTGATCCATGTTGACGTCAATGTTGAAGACTTGCCTGGGGCACGTGCAGGGATCCAAGCACGGAAGGTCCTTTTGCTGGGACCGTCAGCATCTCACTTGGGTCCGGTCAATGCTAGAAACCAAAGGGCTTTTTCCCATCCCAATGGCCCTCCCCACCCCATCAACCAGGAAACACATTCTCCACATCTTGAAAGTCCTAACCTCAAAGCGCATTGTCTCACTGCCAAGCAGGTGGATAACCTCTGGGGAGCATGTACACACAAGTGGGCTGAGGTGGAGAAGGGGAGGTGTCCTTCTGGCACTGGTGGGGACAGAGGAACGGGTGAGCTGTTCCTCTCAAGAGTCTCTCACTTGGTGGGGGAGGGGGCGCAGGAGGATCCCAGCAGAGTAGCCCCTGTCATCCAGATAAAGGGCTGGAAAGGACCCAAGGAAACCTGCCAGTCTTCCTAGGCCAGGCCTGCGTGGGGCGGGGCGGGAGTCCCCACTGCACTCCCTCCACCCCCCCGTGTTGTGCCTCTCCCTGCAGACGGTAAATATTGGTGTTGTGACTTCATTAATAAAGGCTTCTGTGAGCCTGAAAAACATGGAATCAGGATGAACTATTTTCTGAGCTGCCGGCTTGCCAGGTTTGCTAATTTGGGAGTTTTTGGGCCCTCTCCAGGGAACAAACCAAAGTTTCTCTCGAAGAGACACAGATGCAGCCGGGAAGGGGAGAAGAAGCTGAGGAATGATGCTCCCATCCCTCCTTTGACTGCTCCTTCCTCTTGGAGATCGGGGCCCTGCAGGTGGACAGGTGGACAGGAGCTGCTTGGCCACGCATTCCCCAAATGAGCCTGGCGATGTCATGTCCTCCCCCCCCGCCCCCCCAGCTGGGCTGGCCTCCCAGGCCCTGCAGAGTCAGACGGCTGCGGTACTGATGACAAGAGACAACCCCACGCTGCATGTGGCTTAAGTGGAGGGAACATGGTACGGGGCAGCTGTTCTTAACTCCCGTGGCCCAAGCCATGTGCCTCAGCTTCGGGGAATGATCTTCACGCTCCTCTCGTCCATGGAACTTCCTGAGATTAGTCCCCACAGCTCTGTAGCTGCATGGCTTGTGATCTTAGCATCTCTGCACTTGGTTTTCACCAACTCCTCCTCAGGGGTGCTGTGACTGCTTCCCATGGGGCTTCACGGAACCCGTGCCTAGTGAACTGGGTTCCGCCCAGGAGGGAGCCAGGCGGGGGCCGGCAGGCCTCTGCTGGAGCCCCTGCGCCCGGGCAGCCATGCAGGGGGAGGGGCAGGGAGGCCAGCAGGCTGAGTGGTGCAGGCCCAGCCAGCTTTCCTGTCAGACAGGCGCTGCCAATGCGGAGCCAGACATCGGGAACAGGTTTAACCAATTACCCGAGCGCCCCATCTGCTGTCTGGGGTGTGTGTGAGGGTGAGTGCATGTGAGGGTGTCTGGGAGTGTCTGGGAGGGCTGTGGGCGTGTGCGCGCGACTGTGACTGTGTGGGTGTGTGTGGGCGTGCGGTGGGGCACGTGGGCGGGGTGTGCCGCCTGTCCCCGTCATACCCCCTCATTTGTCAGCCTGTGGCCACCAGCTTAGGGTCTTCCTGTCTCCCCAAGACCTGGGGGGGTCTCCATGAACAACCCACCCAGCGCCCCAGGCCCCTATTCCCCACTCCCCTCCTCACCACTCTCACCCCCGGGGCTTACGAGAGCCCGGAATCATGCCTTCTTTCAAATCGCACATTCAGATGTCTTTTCCTATCAGACCACACGTTCTTCCCGCTCACTCGCTCAATTTCCTTCTACATCCGCGCTTTGACCTCCTCACAGGCTGCTCCTGGCCACAGGCCCCTCTGTTCTCTCTCCCACGTCCCCTGGTCCCACTGCTTCTTGGTTGCACCTGCCTGGCAAAATCACAAACTTGCTCGAACCTGTTTCCCCATCTGCCCTTGCAGCTGAGTCTGTGAGGACATCAGACGAGCGTGCCGGATGGCACCCCTTGAAGTCCAAGGTCCCAGCCTCAGTTTAGGTTGATAAATCCACTCCTGTTCTCCATAGGGGACGTCTCAAACAGTTACCCTTCTCCCCAAACTGCTTTCCCTGCTTACCCGCAACAGAAGACCTTATTTCCATCTCCAGAGGGAAATGAGAAGCTCTGGAAGAGAACACCTTCATATCAACCGGGGGACGGGAAGAAAGAGATAGTCTCTTCAAATGGGGCAGTCTGAGGAGGGTTGGATAAAGGAGCAATTCACAAATTTTGGGACCCCAAGAAGAGCTGTTGTAGTGCCCCAAGCTAACAACAGTGGCCCACAGCCCTGGGGCCTGAAGAGGCAGGGGCAGGAGCAGTTACCAGAACCCGAGAGGACAGATGGATGGAGATGGCCCCAGACAGGAGCTACGGCCTTCAGTAGCAGGGGGCCCGAGGAGGCAGGGGAGGCCAAGGGAATGAATCGGCCAGTGTCACTCTCCTCAAATCCTTCACTGGGGACTCCCAATCCCAGGAGCCAGACGGCAAGTCCATACGAGTCAGCCTCCCGGGACAGAGAGCGGGCAGAGAATGGTGCAGAATGGATCTGGGGGCCCCAGGCAAGCTAGCCTCTCATCCCCCCAACCTCCCACCCTCAAACCCATACCACCTCCGTCCTGTTACCCCGAGACCCTCCTCTCCTTCTGGCCCGCCCCTCTCCTCTCTGGGGACCTCACTTCTCTTTCCTGCCTCCCCAGGCTCCTCCCTCTCACCCGTTACTGTCCACATGCCCGAGTGTTCCTTCTGACGCCTTCCCTTAGCCCCACATGGTGCTGCAGCCATTGTCATGTCCCAACGCCCAGCTCACAACCCAATGTCTTGGAAATTCTTTGTTTTACAAGTTAAGGTGCACGGTCGGCCAGTCAGAGTCCTACTAACTTCCCAGCCCATGGAGATCTGGCTTTTGCCTGACCACACTCCACTGAGACTATTCTCTCCAGGTCCTTCCAGGGGACATGCCGTGTGTCCATCTTCCTCACCTCTCAGCACCTGTTCAGTATGTGGACAACCTCCCCTACCGGAAGCATCCTTGTCTCTTGTCTACCCCGTTCTCCTCATCTTCCTCTTACCCCTGGCATTAAAGTGCTGGGGCCATCAGGACAAACACCACAGACGGGGCAGCTTAAGCGACAGGGATTTATTTTCTCACAGTTCCGGAGGCTAGACGTCCGAGCTCAAAGTGCCAGCAGGGCTGATCTCTCCTGAAGCTTCTCTTCGTGGCTTGAAGGTGGCTGTCTTCATGTTCCCACGGTGTTTCCCCTCTATGGATGTCTGTGTCCAAATTTCCACTTCTTATACGGTGACCAGTCATACTGGATGAAGACCTGCTCTCATGAGCTTGTTTTACCTTAATGACCTCTTTAAAGACCCTACCTCCGAATACAGTTGCATTCTGAGGTCCTGGGGGTTGGGAC